CGGGTCTAAGGCTCTGCACACTGAGATTCATGCTGGCTGTGAGACTGTGGGTTCCTACCTGGGAGGTTTAACTCGCGAGTTGCCCCTCCCTGATCCTGGAGCCCCCACTCACCTGCACCGCCTGGCCGCCCTGGCAAACCGGAACGCCTTGATGTTTCTTGGGCAAGCAAGTTGCTTGTTCTTGTAGTAACAGTCGGACTGCCTATGTTGTTTTGTATTTTTCCTATAGGTCTTTCTTTCAAGAAGTATCTTCTGTTCTTCTAGCCACTCCAGGTTGGTTGCTTGTCCTTTCAAGTGGGAATTTCCCATCTCTGGAGATCTGGATGTGGTTCAGGCTTCCACCTATAGTCTTATGTATTGCAGAGGCTCTGCAGGAAGCCTCCTTCACTCTGACCTCTCAGTTTCTTGACTCTTCCAAAAGTCCTCTCTTCTGCCATAACTTAGCCAATCAATCCCAATGTCCTTCCTTAGATTTTGTCATTACCAATCATTATATCATCTTCATAATCTCAATTTCAAGGATCTCCAATTACCAGTATTCCCACCCACCCAATTCTAGGAATTTTAGTTCTTGGATCCTTCCACTGTTTCGCCATCTTAATAGCCTCATTTTCCATATTTACTCAGGTTAGATGTCTTGGTACATCATTATAATATGTCCTTTGCATGTACACTTAGTTCCTTCTTTCTCCTGCCACACTCATGTAGCAACACCCTAGTTGTAACTCACACGTGTACAACTGAACATAGAGAGAAACACAACCATGATAATTGGTCTTATTTTAAATTTTTGACCACTGATTTCAAGTGACTCCTTAATGCTAAGTAGACACCCGCTGTATTTCCCTATTCCATGCCCTCTTTTACTCTTCTGAATTACTATTTTACAACTTTTTCCAAAACTTTATTTTTTCCTCCCAATTCCTCACTCTCAATTGATAGACTTGCTTCTTATTCATTAAGGATATAGAAGAAATCAGAAGAGAATTTCTCCAATTCCATTACCACATCTGCATCCGTCTATGCCCTTCTTAGTTATCTAATGCTGCTGTAATATAAATATCACAAGTGGATGGCTTCAAGAACCAGAAATTTATTCTATTACATCAAATCACATCATGGGGGGTATCTACATCTCAATTGCCAAACCACTGAGAATCCTGGCCCAGTAAAGTTGACACAAAACCTTAGCTATCACAGTCTACCCCTTGTCAACTTAGCACTTACATATATCTCTTTAAACTATATACGTAATTTCTAAATAAAGACAATCATAAAGTCATATTTGTACCTAACATAATGCCACTAACACTCATACAACCCAAAATGCACTAATCCCATTATTATTGTTGTTGTTGTTATAATGTACCGTGGAGTCAGTTCGGACTCATAGCAACCCTGTACAGGGTTTCTGAGGCTGTAATCTTTATGGGAGCAGAAAGCCTCATCTTTCTCCCATGGAACAGCTGATAGTTTCAAACTGCTGACCCTAAGGTTAGCAGCCAGATTCGTAACCACTACACTACCAGAGCTCTTTAATCCCATTATATTACCCCAAAATTCTTCCAAGTCCAAATTACAACCTGGTACAAAATTCCTTTTCATCTGTGAATCCAGAATACAAGTTATCTGCTTCCACATAAATTGGTGGAATAGGCAAAATGTAGACATTCTATTACAAATGGGATAAATTGGAGGGTAAAAAAGGGATAACAGGCACCAAGCAAATTAAATATCCAGCAGAACAATTAGCTCTCAAGACTAGAAAAGAATCCTCTGTTCCCTGAGACCATCTAGGCAATGGCTCTGCCCTCTAGGCTCTGGGTGTTGGTCTAGGTACTGTGGGTTTGAGGTTGTTGTTGTTGTTGTTAAGTGCCGTCGAGTCGGTTCCGACCCATAGCGACCCTGTACAGGGTTTCCGAGGGTGTAAATCTTTACGGGAGTAGA